GTGGTATGGGTTCGGGGCAACTGGCGGTTGGAACTGAGGAGGCGCCGGTTGTGTGGTGCGGTTGGGATCGTTGGGGTCGAGGGTCTCCCCCTGACCGAGGGCGTGGTACATGGAGTAGTCGGCCATGTTTGTTTATTTAGATTAAGTATGTCACCGTCGTCGTCGTCGTCGAGCGGTTTGGAGTCGTAGTCGTAGTCGTAGTCGTATATGAGTGGTATAGTATTATGGAAGAAAGGGGGGCGGCGGCGCGGACGAGGAAGCTTGATCGAGATCGGTCGGGTCGGGGTCGAGAAGAGTAAAAGTGGAAGGACGGTAGAGGTAGTTATCGTGGTGGGGTGGTGTTGTTGTTGATCATGCCCAGCAGATGTGTTTATGTCGTCGAGGCATCAACGGGCCATGTTGGAATTATTACAAGTTGTTAGTGGTTGAGGCCTGAGGGTCGGAGTGGCAGAGGACGAAACAGTGGTGTTTCCCCGGTGGAGGTTATCTGGCTCTATCGGGACCGCTCCAGTGTCACGGTGGTCCTGTCGAGCTGTCCTTTTCCATGCGTGCAGCGAGTCCCGTCTCACCAGCCCGGGGCCAGTCAAAAGTGGGGCCGCGATGCTGCCGTGTCAATCGCCGGGCATTTGAAGTCCACTGAACAACAGCGCATGTGCCCCCAAAAAGCTCCCGTGGAAGCTGCAGGTCGGTCCCTCGCGCCCTCGGTCTGAGCTCCCGTCTGAGGAAGTTTGCCGGCTGCCAGCCAATCACATCGGCACTTGGCAGCCAGCTGCGATCTTCCAAACTCGCGGTACAAAGGTACACCAAGCCCACGCGACGATTGGCGACAAAAGAGGCGCCTGTAGTGCTGCACTAGGACCCCCCCTGAATGGTCCAATTGGGCCCTGTAACCGCGTCTGTAACCGCGAATCCAGGCCAATCCAGCATGGGTCAACAGAGCCTCTTGCACTGCAACCCATCTTTCAACGTCCCGTCGCCAAACAACCTGGAACTCCACTAACAAAACATCATCAACTTCAAGTTCCCGTCACTTCTTCCACTTGATTGTTACATCACACTCACCACTCTGCCTCCAGTTCGGACACCCAGTCTGATGGAGTTCTTGGGCGGTTCCCACGCTTACCAACACAGGTATTAACAATGTTCAGCTTCTGCCCTCTCCAGGGCGCCCTCTCCGACTCGTCAGCCTCCCAGTCGCTGCTGGAGCTCGACGGCGGCGTCAAGATCCTGATCGATGTCGGCTGGGACGAGACCTTTGACGTCGAAAAGCTCAAGGAGCTCGGCAAACAAGCACCAACTCTGTCCTTGATCCTACTCACCCACGCGACCGTCCCCCATCTGGCCGCCTACGCCCACTGCTGCAAGCATTTCCCACCCTTCCAGCGCATTCCCGTCTATGCGACGCGCCCCGTCATCGACCTCGGTCGTACCCTGACACAGGATCTCTATGCCTCGACACCCCTAGCCGCGACGACGATATCATCGACCTCGCTCGCCGAAGTATCGTATGCCTCAGGCTACTCTCAGGCCGCCTCCGCAGACAACACCTTCCTCCTCCAGCCACCCACTCCCGACGAGATTACCAAGTACTTCTCTCTAATCCAGCCTCTGAAATACTCTCAGCCACATCAACCGCTACCGTCGCCCTTCTCCCCGCCTCTCAATGGCCTCACCATCACAGCGTACAACTCGGGTCGCACACTGGGAGGAACCATCTGGCACATTCAGCATGGATTGGAGTCGATTGTTTACGCCGTTGACTGGAACCAGGCTCGTGAGAATGTCTTTGCGGGAGCGGCATGGCTAGGTGGAAACCATGGTGGTGCCGGAGGTACACAGGTTATCGAGCAGTTGCGCAAGCCAACAGCTCTAGTATGCAGCAGTCGTACTCCAGACGCCACTCTGTCGCGTGCCAAACGTGACGAACAACTAATGGAATCAATCAAGCTTTGTATTGCCAGAGGTGGTACCGTGCTCATCCCCGTCGACTCGAGCGCCAGAGTGTTGGAGCTGTCTTACCTTCTCGAGCACGCCTGGAGAAAAGAGGTCGCCAAGGACAATGACGTCTTCAAGTCGGCCAAGCTGTTCCTTGCCGGACGCACTATTAGCAGCACCATGAAAAATGCCAGGAGTATGTTGGAGTGGATGGACGACAGCATCATCAGAGAGTTTGAAGCGTTTGCCGATGAGTCGAGGAGGAATAATAGAAGGGATGAGGGGAATCACCAGACCGGTCCAGGACCATTTGACTTCAAGTACTTGAGGCTACTTGAGCGCAAGGCACAGATCGAGAAGATCCTACAACAGTCGGATGATACCGAACCAAGAGCCAAGGTTATTCTCGCCAGCGATACGAGCCTGGACTGGGGTTTCTCCAAGGATATTCTCAAGTCTATTGCCGCTGATGCGCGTAACTTGGTCATTCTCACGGAAAAGCCCAACTTTGAGCCGAACCATAAACCATCTATCGCGAGGACACTATGGGAGTGGTGGAAGGAGAGGAGGGACGGTGTGGCGACAGAACGCACAAGCAACGGTGACACATTCGAACAGGTCTATGCCGGTAACCGCGAGTTGGAGATAGAAACCGCTGAACGAAAGGGGCTGGAGGGAGACGAGCTAAATGTCTATCAACAATGGCTAGCAACCCAACGGCAGCTACAAGCCACCCTACAGAGCGGCGGCACCACCATGCTAGAAGCACCGGGAGACGTCCTCGATGACGCTGATACCGACACCGACACCGAGTCAGAAGGCTCCGATACGGAGCAACAAGGAAAGGCTCTAAATATTGCTACCACCATGGCCCAAGCCAGTCGCAAAAAGGTGGTACTCAGGGACGAGGACCTTGGTGTCACCATCCTCATCAAGAAAGAAAACGTCTACGATTTCAATGTCCGCAGCAAGAAGGGCAGAGACCGCATGTTCCCTGTCGCCATGCGTAGGAGGCGCGCCGACGAATTTGGCGAACTAATCCGACCCGAAGACTACCTCCGCGCTGAAGAACGCGAAGACGCCGAGAACCAAGAAGCCGGCCAAGTAAACACCAACAACCAAGAGCTCGAAGGCCTTGGAAAGAAGCGCAAGTGGGAAGACGTCGGCACCGCTGGCAGAGGCCGAGGCGGTTCGGGACCCAACAAGCGTCCCCATCACAACGACCGCCGTCGCCTCTCCGCAGGCGAAGCCGACGCCGCTCCCTTTTCCGAAAACGGCCCAGCGGGCGATGACCTCTCGGACCTCGAAGACGAAGAGGACGAGACCCTCAACGGCCCCGCCAAGCTGGTAGTCACCAAGGAGACCATCCCCGTCCGTCTGCGCATCGCATTTGTCGACTTCAGCGGCCTCCACGACAAGCGCAGCTTGACCATGCTCATCCCGCTCATCCAGCCGCGCAAGCTAGTCCTCGTCGCCGGCGGCAGAGACGAGACCCTGGCCCTGGCTGCAGACGTCAAGAAGCTGCTCACCGCCCAATCCACCGGTACCGAGTCCGCCATCGAGGTGCTCACCCCCGCAGTGGGCACAACCGTCGACGCCTCGGTCGACACCAACGCCTGGGTCCTAAAACTAGCTGACCCGCTTGTCAAGGGTCTCAAATGGCAGAACGTGCGCGGTCTAGGAATCGTCACCGTCACCGGCCTCTTGCTTCCCGGAGGCGAATTCCAGCCGATCTCGGAGGCTGGCGATGGCGATGCTGCAAAGCGCCAGAAACTCGAAGACTCTCCAGAAACCCCTACCTCAACAGCCCTAGTAAAAACCGGCACCAACACCTCCCCAACAACCACCTCCCTCCCGACTCTGGACCTCGTCCCGCAAACCCTCGCCTCCTCGCTCTCCGTCCGCTCACAAGCCGCCCAGCCTCTTCACGTAGGCGAACTACGTCTTGCCGATCTGCGTCGGGCCATGCTAAGCGCAGGCCACAAGGCCGAGTTTAGGGGAGAAGGAACGCTGTTGATCGATGACGTGGTTGTTGTGCGTAAATCGACGGCTCAGGGAGGCAGGGTGGAGTTGGAGAGCGTGGGGTTGCCGAGTGATACCATGCCGGGAACGACGAGTGGTGGATTGTTGGATGCGGCGATGAAAGTGGGTGGAACGTTTTATGCGGTTAAGAAGAAGATTTATGAGGGGTTGGCTGTTGTTGCTGGGGCTTGATCAACAGTATCTGAGTTGCTAAGGCAGTTGAAGGTAAATGGAAAGGGGCGAATAGGTTTTGGTTGGGCAGTGATTGTATACGAGTATGTGTTTACTATTATGGACTCGGATCGATAGGTCTTGGAAGGGCCGGGGTATTGACTGGTCACGGTGTTTTTGTCATCTCGTTGAAAGCGGGCGGCATTAGACAATTTTGCTTTCTCCCTACAGTAGGTCAGTTGCAGTGATTGGAACTGAAGAACGGGGCTGATCACGAATTGAGACTTCGTTGAGCCACTGCACGATTTCACGGTCACTGAATCTTTTCTCCCCGGCCTTGCTAGATAGTACTACCCAGCTGTTCCCATATCCATTCGACTCTCATCCATGCAGGCAGTCAACAAGCCGGTCGTACAGTGAGCGATGAGGACGGAAGAAAAGTGGAAGGAGAGCAATGTTCACGAAGTGAGAACGGAAGTATCTCCTTCAAATGAGTGTCTGTTAGAAGGGGTAGTAGAGCGATCGTTTTTGCCATACTGATCTCTCATCGTACACCTACATACGCGGCTGATGAGTCTACAAAATGTCCTCGCCCTCTCTGATACCTAGATATGATTGACCCCCTCTTCCGTCAACAGCAAAATATTCCTAATTCTCAAACCCTTCAGAGAATTCACCAAAATGATTTATAAACACGTAAGTAGGTAGCAAGTAAAAGAAGAACATGGACCCGTCCACCTCAAAAAAACTCGAGAACCATGTATGTCCCCAAACAATGCCCTACATAACCAACAAGAAACTGATAATACCCACAAAAAGACCAAAAAATTACACCTCTCTCATATGATGCAAGCAGACAAACCCTCCCTACCTTAGTCATTTTGAATCCCCCAAAACTGCTCAGCATAAAACGTGCCCTTCTCAGCAACCTTCCACTCATCATCAAACGCCGTAAACATGTAAACCTCAAAATCCCCATCATCCCCAAACCCTCTCTCCCTCCCTTCCTTCCAAACCTTCATCACGCCCTCAACCGCCCTTTTTTGTTCCGCTCTCCCCGGCACCGCTTTGTAGTTTGCATTCCCCTGTTTCGGCCACCCGGTTTCGGTAACCACCACCCTTTTTTGTTTTCCCTCTTTTTCAGTAGTAGCTTGAGTTTTAGGATTAGTAGCTTCGCGTATGTTTAAAACTTGCCTCCGTACAAAATTCCCCGCCTGGCCAGCGACCGTGTGCGGGTCAAAAAACGGGTGGACATTGACAGCGCAGTAGTCCGTGTCTGGACTGCTGCAGAGCTGTGGGTGTGCGAGGACGGCGACGAAGGTGTCGACTGTTACCACGGGGCCTTGGTACCCTTCCCGTCGCAGCGCTTGTCGTACCGTTCGCACGGCGGCTAGGACTTGAGCGGGCGTGGCTTGTCCATTGTTCACCAGTTCGTTGCCTACGCTGATGGTGTCTACCATGTTTGTCCAGACTTCTTCCACGGTTTTTTTGGGGGAGGAGGAGGCGGCGGCGAATGTCTGCACGTCTTTAACCAACGTCGTAATCTGCGAGCTGAGGTCGGAGAGGTGGAAAATGCCGAGGAAGAGTTTAAGCGGAGGAGAAACGGAAGAGGCGGCGCGGAGCGTGTGTAAAACCTGGGAGCAGTCGACGCCGTAGATGCGGACGGTGGAGTAGAGGCCTGTGCGGGCGATGCGGGAGAAGTCGGAGGCTATGTTGGACGGGGAGCGGCAGCCTGTTAGGTCGTAGGGGGCGTAGGTTATGCCGGGGAGACGTTGGGGGGAGAAGCCGGGGTGGATGTGAGTGGTGGTGTTGGTGTTGGTGAGGATTGTTGTGTTGTTGGTTGCTGGAGGCGTGCTGTCCATGGGCTTGGTGGGTTTGATGGGTTTGATGAGTTTCTTGTGGGCTTTATTGTATGAAAGGTAAGAGGAGAGGTTGGTGCGTTTGGTTTTTAGTTTGAGAGTTGTCTCTGCCATGGATGAAGATGTGGACGAAGACGAAGATGGCGATGGGGATAACGAGGATGATGAGGCAGAGGGAGTTGCTTGTGAAATGATGGGGATGGTGTTCGTCTCTGTGGTGACCGTTTGTGAGTTCTCGTCGACGTAGATGACTACCTCTTCGACTTCGGTAGCTGTTGAAGTTGCGGCGGTTTGTGCTTGAATGGCAGAGGTGTCTCCTCTTGCTGCCAACGTCATACTCTCAGCTTCAACTCTCCCGCCTGTGTCTCTGGATGGCGTTTGACCTTCTAACGCAGATCTTCCATCATCTTCGAGTGCTACCACTGCCTTTGGTGCTTCGGTCTCCGAGTCGTCCACGTGGATAGGAATATCCATCAAGCGCGGAAGATGGTTCCGGGCATGAACACGATGAACTTGATCATAGTGTTGATCGATCTGATAATGGCGATTTCCTAATCCTAGGTCTCCTAGTCAGCCCATCACTACCTTGTCTTTGATTTCCTTGTGAGTTGGAAGGCTTACTGTCGTCTCCAGCTGACGGAATAGACAAAATACGTCCAAAAAGACTGGCCACTAGGACAAGTCGAGAGACTGGTATCGAGTATTTCATCCTGAATAAAAGTCTGACCACACGCGGAGTTGTCTTCCGTCCCTCTGCGTTCAGGTGACTATAGTAAAAGGACTGTCATACAAGTTGACCGAAAACGAACGAGAGGCACGGTGATCACTGGAGATTCGTCGAAGCCGACTAGTTGGTTAACAGGCCAGCTGAACCACCAAGATAATCCAAAACGAGGGTTGTGAGACTTGACGGTGCACTACGGCTGTCAGACGTGGGTGCAGTCAGGCAAGTCAAAGAAAATGAAGGTAATCCAGAATCCTAGAGGGAAAAGAGGATTCATGTCGTCTCAGCTTGTTAAAACTGAAGCTTTCGGTGCTTACTTGAGTGCTCCTTCTGCTCAAATCCCAAATATTCAGTTCAACTTCACCAACCGAAAGCCGCTCATCACCTCCCCGGAAAGACCAGACAACCCCCAAAGTCCTTTCCCACAACTGAGGCGTGAATGGAAGCCAAGATGGTGTGCAGTGTACTTTGGAGACATCACCCGACAGAGGGGAGGAGCAGATGCCGCAAAGGACTCCAAACCCTTGTCCTGACTCTGGCATTCAAGTCCAGTTGAGTATAATCGATACCAAGACCATAACACGGCAGGCGCACTTGTCTTACCTCCTGGTCTGGCCCACTGCATAAGTACCTCGCGATTAGTAGTTCCGTTGTCGTTGCTCTCGCATGATTGTATTCTCTCGTGTCGGTATTGACCCTGGTGTTGGCATTGGTGTTGATGTTCCTCGTCGTTGTTGAGCCCATCTCATTACATCACTGGAATGCTAAGCCTACGTACCTCTAGGTATCTGTCGCCGACTGAGCTCATGTGCCCATGCGCCCGGTAATCGGGATACCAGACTAATAGAGCAACCTATTCATTCCATTCTCTCCATGCCCCTGCCGGCTGCGTTGTTTAAGTGTCTTGCCGTCTGTCTCATATCGAATCTTGAGTTCAGCTACCGACTACCGATGAGGTCTGGACCCCGGACGTGCCGCCGTCAGGAAATCTGGATCTGATGTGGACTAGTAGTACCGCATGTGTTTTTAGAGAAGTTCTTATCGTCGGGTGGGTTCATATCCCCACCTCTCTTGTCTTGTCGTGTAGGTCCATACCCTCATACCCTTTCTATATTTTAGCCCTCCACACTTCTTTTCCTTCTTAATTCTAGCTTTCTCTCTATAGCACACACATCTACACATCGTTTTGCCCTCACGTCCAAGAGTTCTTGTCAACCTCGGGCTGAGTGAAGTGTTCTTTCCGTGCTCGCTCACAACGTATCGTGCTACTTTGCGCTGTGCGTAAATATTGACATCATAATCGTCCGCTAAGTACTCGAATAAGGAAATCGCAAGTTGTCGACAAAGGCCTATGTACCTCTGTTAGTGAACCGAATCTTGACTATGGCAAAAACGATCGCTCTACTACCCCTTCTAACAGACGTTTGAAGGAGATACTTCTGTTCTTCGTGAACATTGCTCTCCTTCCACTTTTCTTCCGTCCTCGCTCACTGTACGACCGGCTTGTTGACTGCATGGATGAGACGGAGTCGAATGGATATGGGAACAGCTGAGTAGTACTATCTAGCAAGAAAGAAAAGATTCAGTGACCGTGAAATCGTGCAGTGGCTCAACGAAGTCTCAATTCGTGATCAGCCCCGTTTTTCCTATCACTTGCTACTTACGTGTTTATATATATCATTTTGGTGGATTCTCTGGAGGGTTTTGAGAATTACCTTAGGAATATTTTGCTGTTGACGGAAGAGGAGGTCAATCATATGTACTCTAGGTAGCAGAGAGGGTGAGGACATTTTGTAGACTCATCAGGCGCGTATGTAGGTGTACGATGATGAGAGATATGTGATAGGTAGGCAAGACTGGAAAGGCACTTGTGGTAACCAGGCAGGCTTCATCGAGGGAGGATAACAAGCAGGATAATAATTCTTCACCTACCCAAGATGTCATATCTACCGCAACTTACAAGTTTCACTCGACGCCGAGGCCATGAAAGATACGTAGAGGTAGGTAGTGTATCCAATACCATTCACATCATTACGTATTAACACTATCTTGGTCTATCGTGACATCCATCCATCCATCTACCCTTCCGCCATCGTAGCCAGCCAGCCATCGCTTCCAGCCCAATCCATCTAATTCATATCCCATGTCATTTCAAACCATTCATTTTCTTTTTCCTATCCCATACAGTCCATTTTCCACTTCGCAACAACCCCGTGCCCCGCTACCACCAATCAACTGATCCAATAAAGTATTTATATAGCATGGTGTGAGAGATAAGACAAGACGAAAAAACAAGAAGTGAAGAACACCCCTACCAGCTAGCTCTTCGAGACGACGTGTCTCTCTAAACTTAAGCAGTAGGAACCCCCAACTTGTTATTCCCCTTCTTGGTCATGACCTTGGTGATGGCATGACGGATCGCAATGCCCGCCTTCTCCGTCTCCTTCTTGGACAGACCAGAAGTGACGCAGACCTTGAGGGCCGGGGTGGCGGTGTAGACGTTGTCCTTGAGGCCCATGTGGTGGGTGATGGGACCGCCCTTGAGGCGGGTGACGAGGATGTTGTTTGCGAGGCACTGTAGGTAGGGGGTGTTAGTATTTGACAAAAAAATTGAGTGAAGGGGCAAAAGGAAGGGCAAGAAAAACATACCTCATCAGCAGCCTCCTGCAACAACCTCTCCTGATCCTCCACCGTCAGCCTCCTCGCCTCCACCACCTGCGGCTTCAGAACCAACAACAAAATCGGATTCTCCGGCGCGCTGGTGCAAACAACCCAATCGCTCTTGGGATCCAACTGCGCCCTCATCAACCGGACATTTTCCCTGCACACGCCCAACGTCGCCTCGGGGTTCTCCTGAATGACATGCAAGCCCTCACTTGCGGTAATAGCCAACATGGCCGGCAGCGCCGCCGAAAACGTATAACTCGCGGCCGTCAAGCGCTGATGCTCCACGACGTCCTTGGGTCCCGCACAGAAACCGCCGCCAGCGCAGAGGGGGCCAGCAAGCGAGCCAACAATCATGTCCACCTGGGTGGGATCGACGTTCTGGGCCTCGGTGAGGCCGCGGCCGGTTCTTCCCAGGACGCCAAACGACCAGGTCTCGTCCAGGATGATGCGGAACTTGTACTTCTCCTTGAGCTCGATCAGGCGGGGCAGGTCGTTCATCTCGCCCGTGAGCTCGAACAGGGCCTCGGTCACAATAAAGCGGCGCGTCAGCTTCTTGCCGCGGGCCTGCTCGGCCACCACCTTTTGCATGACGCGCTCGAGGTCGTCCAGGTCGTTGTGCTCGTACCACTTGATGTTGGAGCGCGAGATCTCGAGGCCGCGCCGGATCGAGTAGTTGACGGCCCGGTCGGCCACAATGATGTCGCCGCGCTTGCAGAAGGCCGGGATCACGGACGAGATGGTCGAGAAGGCTTGGGCGTAGACGATGCAGCCCTCGGTGCCGAGGTAGTTGGCGATGTCGGCTTCGGTGCGCATGTGCACGTCTTGGGTGCCGTAGAACTGGGGCGGGCCGCAGGGGCCGACGCCGTAGGTGCGAAGGGTCTGGATGGCTTTTTCCTTGATTTGCTCGTTGGCGTTGAGGTTGTAGAAGTTGTAGGAGGCGAGGTTGGTGACGGTGCGGCCGTTGGAGAGCTTGGACTTGGGACCGGTTGGGCTGTTGCCTCTGGTGTCAGCACAGTTTGCGAGCAGCGATGGGGATAACTTACCCAACGAGAACTGGCAACCTCTCGGCCTCCATCTCCTCGAGGACGGTCATGTTCGGCACGAGAGGCTCGGGGATCCATTCATCAACGAGCTCATCGATTTCCTGTTTGTCCCAGAATCAGCACTTGGCCCTCTCCTCCTCCTGAGTTGTGGAACTCACAGCGTCAGTCAACTTGATAAAGTTCTGCTTCGAAGTCGAGTACGCCGGCGACATAAGGTATCTGATGAAGAAGATGACCAGGACCAGCTCGATAGCCGAGCGCACCGGATCGTTCTGGTACGATGACCTGACATAGCGGATCAGGACTGCGGACCCCGGCACCTTTTGGAAGGCGGTGATGGCTTCGTTGAGCCATTCGGTCAGGTGGGTTTGGAGTTCTTGGAGCTCCATCTTGTTCGGTCTTCGTCTAGTGGCGATGCGATCAAGGGATTGCGCTCGACGGGTGCGATGCGGCGGCGGCGGACTGGGAATCGGATGATCAACCCGAAACTCGACGTCGACAGGTTGGAGAGAGATTCGCGTAATCGTCGACCGAGATCGAGAGAGGTACCGCTAACCTCGGGGATCTCTCGTCTCCGTCGTGGTAAAAAGGTACAAAGAAAAGAAGTTGGGCGGTCAAGAAATCCACGAGGTCCACGAAACCAAGCGGCCGTTCGTGTCGGACGCTTCGGAGTGTTAGCACCGGGACGTACAGGTACAACTCAGGCCACCTCATTCAGCACCGGCAGTGGCCTCCAAGGTCCCTGAGCCAATCACCCTTGCATAATTTTTCAGGTGCTGCACAAGCTCAGGGGCAATTGCCCAGTTGACCAATCAACAGCCGTAGACATGATCCATCATCGAACCACCGTTAACGACACAAGTTCAAAACACCACCGGTACCGGTAATTATGGTCATGAGCGAGCAAGTGCAACTAACAGGAAAGGGTTTCAGCTCTAATACTAGCACTAATTGTAGAATTCCGCGAGACTAGATATGATAAAAAAAATACTAAAAAAGAACACAACAGAGGGTTCGAGTGAGAGTGCGTCAAGAAGAGAAAGACGAGTTTAGAAAAGCCGTGTGTATCATGCCTTTAAACCGCAGCCCGCCACAACCGTCACCGAACCCGACTCCCGTTCCTTCCCCAGTGTCACCCTCATCCATATATGTAAAAGGAGCAAGGTGAGGGAGCAGAGAGGAAAGAAACAAACATAGATAAACCAACACCAAATACACAAGGCCCTCTTTCTCGACCACACACACATTCGACCGAGTTTTACACCACACTTCATGATTTCCGTTGCTACTAACCACGCAAAACCCAAAAAGGAAACAAAAAAGTCGAAACAAAAAACACCAGAGAACTGGCATCAGAGTGTCAAACCAATTAACCCCATGCTACCATACCAGTTCCCCCTTTTTTTGCTTCACCGTCTTAAAATGCCATCCTCCTTTCAGCATTACTAGTAGGCCTAGCGTGATAGTCCGATGTTGTCGTTGGGGTCCAGACACCAGAGTAGTTAGTGGCCTTGGTTCCGGTCTCCAGGCGACCCCTGGTGTCGTCATTGTCACCAGAGGGTCCCAGCTTCCAGGGGTACTGCCTGAGGATCATGTTTCCACCGCCAAAACTGTTAATAACGTCGAGTTCCGTGGAAGGAATCTGTTTGCCGGCCACAATCGGTCCAACAATAAGGGCGACGAAGATGACAAGCAGGACAAAGTAGAGGATCGCATAGCGGATCACACGTCTCCTCCTGAGCTTCGTCTGCTTCAAAGAGTAAATGGGGGCACGAATTTGACGGCTACAAAAAGATCGTGTTAGCGAGAGAGCCAAAAGAGGGCAGATCAGGTTTGAATGACATACCTTGGACGGAGCCAGAAGAGAATGACCGAGTGGAGCACATCAATCTTGGGGATGATAAGGACGGGAAACATCGAAAACAGAATCATGTGGCCAAGGATGAAGTCGGCGCCAAACATGCTGAGCTCCGTGACCTTGGCAAGCCACTCGCGAGCAGGTTGCGAAACCGAGTGCCAACCCATAGAGTACCACTTGCCAGTCCAGAAGGCAATGTTGGACGTATCAGTCTTGAACTCGCGAGTCAAGGCCAACGAGACAATGAGCTTGATGATGAAGCGCTGAATCGAGACCATGGCGATCATGCCGAGGAGCGTAGGGGTAAACTTGAAGTTCTGCAGGACGAACATGACTTCGAACATGACCAAAAGGATAATGACCGAGAAACCATGGGCAATGGCAGCCAGAACACTGCCAAACTTCTTGCAGCACATGCTCAACAGAGGACCCATGCAGCAGGCCATACCGAACAAGCCGCCAAGGACACCGGCGTTGACAGCCATGGGCGCAAACGTGACAACCAAGAGGCGGATCAAGGCGGCGGTAGGCTTAATCTTATCGTCGCCGGCATGAGGTCCGAATTCACCCTTGACACCAGTCTGCGCGTTAATGAACAGATACGGAATGGTCGTCAAGCAGACAAGGATGAAGGGGGTAAGCATCTCGGCCCAGAAAAGGTTGGTGATAGCAGCCCTGGCAACATCGCCCGAGAGCTTGCTCGACGGGTCTCCGATAATCTTGCGCTTGAAACCAGTGATTCGGATACGCGAGAGGCGGCAGAAGGTGATCCAAGAGGAGGCGTGCGAGCGAGAGTTACCACGCGAGAGCCAGCGGAGATACTCGCGGTAGTCGATGAAGAAATCGCCCCAAGAAAACTGGTGAGGGTTGTAGAGGAAGGGCGAGATGACCAAGGCCATGAGCGAGATCCAGAAGTAGATCAAGGCAGCGTGCCAGACAGTCAGGCAGGCAAAGAGCAACATCATGACCAATCTGGCTCCGAAGTAGATCGAAGGACCGGCGAAACGGGAGTAGAGCACACCGAAGGGAATACGCGCGGTGGCGAAACCACGACCGGTACCGATATATCTGGCACCACCGAAGGAGATATCTTGCTGGACAGAGTTGGCGTAGATCTGGCAGACGAACACTTCGAAGAAAGGCGACAGCGAGAGGATCTGCTTGAAGAAACGAGTCAAAGAGCGGATCACACCCTTCTCCATCATCTCCTGGACAATCAAGGGAACGAAAGCAAGGAACAAGACGAAGATGATGGAGAGAACGCAGCGGTAGACCCAGTCCAGAAGAGCGTCGGTGTTGGAGCAGCCGGTGGGGAAGAGGGCATCGGTAATGGGGACCTCGCGGTTGTACTCGCAGCGGATCGTCTCATGACGCAGTGCGCCGATATTAACGCAGCAAAGCATGAAGAGCTGGACCGAGAGCATAATGAACATGTTGTTCAAATGGAAACCGGGATGGGCGTAGTAGAAGGACAGGAAACGATCGAGCGGGAGCTGAGTTCCGAGGTAGTGGTACTCGCGAGAGAGCAGCTGCTCACCCATACCAGTTCCGATCTTGGTGGTGAAGTTGAGAATGGAGCCGAAACCCAAATCACGACCCTTACCGCACTGGTAGTAATCGCAGTGCTTGATGCGACCACCACGCAGGAGAGCGTTCATACCAGCGTAAATATCCTCGTTCAGATGCAAACCCTTTTGAGCCTTGGAGACACCACCACGGGTAGTCATGAAGATACCGTTGAGGAAATCGGGATGACCGTAATGGAGCTTGCCACCAATCTGGGCCAAGGTTCTGGCGAAGAGCGTACCGAATGTCTGTTCCTTACCGGCGGCAATATCACCGAGGATACCAATGTTCTCAGAGAAAATGTACTCGCGAGCACCGAGAATGGCAACAGGGTGGACGACCTCGTTCTTGACACCGGGAGTGTAGGGCGAAAGGTTGTCGGTCTTCATCTCCTCGAACTCGGCCAAGACGCTGCGGATCTTGAGGCACTCCTCCAGATAGTTGTCTTGGTTGGCATCGATAAGCTGGATGTACTCGCCGCGGTAGAAGATGATGGCGTGGTTCTGGTTGTCGGACTTTCCGTCACCGAGAATGGGGTTTCCGGAAAGCTGGACACGGTACTTGGGCCGGCGCGCACCGTTCTCCATGATCTCAGAGTGACCGTCGATGAGAGCAGAGTAAATACGAGGCTCCTCACCTTCGGCAAGAGGAGGCTCTTCGTCGAGGTAAGCGATCTGGAGATCGGGGTAAGCGCGCAACAAGAACTCGGCGTTCTCCATTTCCTCCTTCTTGAACTTGGCGAAACGCTGCATGGAAATGCAGAGCTTGAACTTGCGACGAGCCATGCGCTCGAGCTCACGCTCGAGCTTGTCGGAGTTGCCACCAAACATCTGGACGACTTCAGGGTTCTCGACACGGTAGAGAAGCTTAATGGCGCGAGCGTAGTTCATGAAACCAGAGACGGTACGGTACAGGGTCTGGAAGCGAAGCGAGGCCCAAATACGGGTTCTGAGGGTATACTCGGGCGCCGAGGACTTGAAACCGATGCAGTAGAAGGGAAGATCGTCGATCTTGCTCTTGACGGTCTCCTTCTCCTTCTCCTTTTCCTTCTCCTTCTCAGCGTCGCCGTTGAACTGCGAGGTCTCATCTGCGAGAATCTTGGTGTCCTTGACGAAGCAATCCCATTCGTGGGGATGGAGCTGCTTCAGGTATTCCAAGAGAGTGACACGAGAGTAGGGCTCATCTTCACGAATGATTGCACGCAGAGAAAGAAGAATCTGTTCGCTGTAGTGAGGAATCATGACAGTGAAGGTAGGCATGTTGTCAACGGGGAGGGGCTCAGGGATCGGAGTAGAGAGCGACTGGGCGAAGAAGGAAATTCTGCGCTCGGCTTCGCTGTACTGAGGGAAGAACTCGGTCTTGAAAGACTGGTCTTCCTGGGAAACGAAGAAAGTGGGGGCACGCAGAGTACGCTTGCCTTCCTGCTCAGACGGCACCTGGTGGTAGAGGAGCTTCTGGACGTGATCAATGGCCAGAAGGTGCTCGCGGTACATGGAGATGACGATAGCATTCCAGATCTGGGAGATGAGGACCTTGGGCTTGTACTTGATCTCCATGTCCGTAGTAGCGAGAACCTTGGAGTAGATACGCTTGGGCAGGCGAGAGTAGACGTTTCTCCAAGGAGTCCAGATCGAGGAACCAAGGTAGAAAGCTCTGGCGACCGAGAAGACGGAGTTGATCAAGACGTACCACAGATACGTATCAAGGAAGAAGAAGATCATACCAGTGAAGATCATCAGACCCATCGTGATTTGCGGTTGGTAAGGGCAGAGATATCTCTGCAGGATCGAGTCCCCAAGACATGACGAGGTATCCATAAGACCAATGTAACGAATTGGGTCGCGAATCGACAAGGTCAAATACACGTACGACTCTCCGAACTTGGCGCCGAAAACGACAACCCACAAACCGAAGGACATGGCCATGTCAGGACCGTTGAGGCGAGGCCAGCTGGCAGTGAATGTCTGACTGGCGACGTACTTGCGCGAGTTCTTGGTGAGGTAGCTGCCGAAGAGACCGCCCAGAGGCATGACGGCAAAGAACAAGAAGGTGACGAGAGCGATAAAGAAGTGCACGATGCCGACAATATAGACAGGGGTGGTGTTCTGATGATCAATCAGCTCCTGGCCTGACTTGCCCGGAAGGAAGACATAGACACCAGGAGCCAAGTTGATGATGAGGACGAAGACCATTAAGAGCATTCGCTTGGACAGATGCTGCGCACCAGCCCACCTGCGAGGAACATAGGCCCATTCTGCCAGAGTTGCTCCAAAGTTGATTGCCGCAGCGACACCACCA